AACTTTCGGACCGGCGCAGTATTATAACTGTAGTGTAATATAGAATATTCCCCAAAATCCGATTCTAATTATTAAGGCCCCTAAACCCTAAACCCTTATAGTAGCCCTTATAGAACCCTTTAAAGGAACCCTGTAAAGGAACCCCTAAAGGAACCCCCGAAACCCTAAACCCTAAACCCTAAACCCTAAAAGGGACCCCCTAAAACCCTATTAAAGGAACCCTTTAAAGGAACCCTTTAAAGGAACCCCCTAGGCCCCTGTATTACTGCTTTGCAAATCTCAGCAGCAACAGACCTCCTAGCCTCGACGCTCTGGCTTTTTCTCCTTTAGGGCTTCTTTTAAGGGTTTGGGTTTAAAGGTTAAGGGGTTAAGGGTTTAGGGTTTAGGGTGTAGAGTTTAAGGGTTTAGGGTTTAGGGTTAAGGGTTAAGGGGTTTAGGATTTAGGGTTTAAAGGTAGCACAGCCGGTCCCTTTTCGGGCTCCCTAGAGGGATTAAGGGTTCTATAGGGGTAGTTCTCTAGATTAGGGTCCCAATTTTCGGGACTTCTATAAAAGTGCGCCGTACTATATTTTGGATCCCCTAAATGAGAGAACTACCCCCATAGTTTGAGCTACCTTTGGGTTTAGGGTTTAGGGTACAGCATTTATGGTTTAGGGTACAGGATTTCTCGTAAATTCTGCGGTTTCCGTACTAGGGTAACTTAAGGCTAAATGTCTTAGCAATGCTCTGCCGTCCTTGATCTTGTGAACATGACGACGGCAAAGTCTCCCTAGACTCTCCATCTACCCTCTATCAGACCCTGAGGGACCATATGCCTCTATTTGAGGGGCGCAAGGAGGGTCCGGGTCTTTTTCTGTTGCAAACTGTCGCAGAATGATGTGCTGAGTGGCTGAAACGGCTATAGGCATGTGGCCTGCCACGCTGAGCTTCGCGCGTCGTGAGTGCGTATTATTTTAGCAGCAGCATTCGCCCCTGTGGTCTTATGACGGTGCAAACACCTGCTCTCGAGATAGGGGTTTAGCCTGCTGCTGCAAATCCTCAGCTAGCCTCAACTCACTTTTAGGGCAAAGCCCATGCCCATGACACTTCGCAAGCTTCCTGAGTCAGGGCTTTCAGCGGATCTCTAAGAAAAAGAAGCTCCTATGGCAAACTTCGATGACACGGCGCCCTTTGAGCATCTCCAATGAAGATGTAGCACTTTCCCACTTAGCCCTCGCTTTTGGCCCTCTTGTAGCCCTGCTCTCACGTAGGGCACGGAGGAGTCGTTCGCACGCACTGCGGCTGTTCCGGAAGCCTGAGCTCTTGTTAGGGAGCCTAAAATAGATCCCTTACAGAATCGTTATGGAGCCCTTCTAGATCCCTCCGAGACCCTTTATAGATCCTTCATAGAACCTTTATGGACCTATGGAACCTCAAAGGAACTTAAACTAAGTTCCTTACAACAAGGACCCAGCAGCCCATCAGCGCTGCTCGCTGTACTGCGCTCCAGTCTTCCAGGGCAGACTCGGGATCTTTGCGCGTAGGCGTGGCCAGCTCGCCTCTTTTGCAGATCGACCCTAAACCCTAAACCCTAAGCCCTAAACCCTAAACCCTAAGACCAGCTCGCCTCTTTTGCAGATCGCAATGCGCGTTCTGAAGACCACGGCGATCTTCCGATCCATGGAAGCCAGGCTCGCGTTGATAGCCTTTGGAATTGAAGTAACCAGCGGTTTAGGGTTTAGGGTTTAGGGTTTAGGGAGAAAAAGTATAGACTTTTATTTCATCATGGTTCCTTTAAGCTAGGAACAGGTCCCCAAAAAGAAGTATTAGTATGTTACTCCAAAGCCCAGTAGCACAATGCAACTCCGCAGCAGCCAGCTTGATCGCCGCTGGGTCAGAAAACTGGAACTGCTCCATCCCAGCTTTGCAAAAAGCTTGCATGAGGATGAGCGTTCCCATTCCTGGGCTCTTTCTTGTTCAGGGATTTAACTTAAGTTACAAGAATGAAGAAATCATATTATCTAAGATCCCTATCTATATTATTATCATTATCACTATCATTGGTATGATCATTATTATTGTTATGGTAACTTGAAGTACATTCCTTAACAAGAACCCAGATTCCCGCCACGGCGAGGGCCAGATCTTCACAGGTCTGCGTCTGCGCATAGAGGCCGGCGTTCAGGTGCACCTGGAAAGTCAGCAGGCGCGTCTTCGTAGAAGCAAGAAGGCACCTTTAAACATTAAATCTAAGCCCTAAGCCCAAAACATTAAAATCTAAACCCCTAAACCCCTAAACCCTAAACCCTGAACTCTAAACCCTAAACCCTGGTAGGACCCTAAGGCTCCCCAAATCCGAAAAAGGCCGTATACAACCCTAACGTAAGGGCCTAGAAAAATTAGAATCGTGTTTTGGGCTCCTTTTATACTATTATTTTAATAGGGAATAATCGTGTCTTGGGCTCCTTTTTAGTATTATTTTAATAGGGAGCCCCGAAGGAAGAAGAAGTGGGGCTTCTATATGTTAAGCTCAGGGAAAGGCACGAAAGGGCGGAACCTTCCATTTGCCCGCTTGCACAAGCTACGGTCTGTGAGGACCCGCTTCCTCTTCGAGATTGCTCTCTTCTGTGGCTTCCTTAGCATGGAAGGGAAGAATGATGTTTTGGGGGGTTTAGGGCATACAGGCGCTGGCAAGGTTCAGCGGTTTAGGGTTTAGGGTTTAGCTTAATGCGTAAGGTTCAATATTCTGGGAGTCTGCTTGCTTACTATACTGTGCAAACTTCTAGCAGAGCGTGGCCTCAGCATCCACTCTTCGAGGCGGCGGCGCTGAGGAAGAGACAGGCGCTCGATCGCCTCGCCAGAAGTTTCAAAAGGGCTTTGGGGTTTAGGGGGTTCAGGGGTTTAGGGGTTTAGGGGTTTAGGGGTTTAGGGGTTTAGGGGTTTAGGGGTTTAGGACTTGAAGGGTTCCTAAATGGGCTCCCAAGGGAGAGTTCCTACAAGTGTGTTCGGCTTCCTTTTCAGG